CACGTCACAACACTACTAGTCTCGTAAGCATTTCAAATCTGGACTTACAACAAGTCCATGCATTAAGCACTTAAAAAGTAGAAAGTGTAAAGTAATTACTGATTCTAATTGTTCCTCGGGTGTCAATGTTCGAATGGGGCGATATGTGTGGTTTTGTCTCTTGGCCCAAATCCAAAACCGCTGAAGTTGCATTGGTATGCCAAACTCTTGTGCAACCAGACCCTGCAAAACTTTGCTTTATCAGAGACTCTCGTAATAACATAACTGAATGAAGAATCTGATGCCCTCAATAATCATAAATCACACACAAACCTCAAAGGAAGAAAAGAATAAAGCAGACAGAAATAAAAGTGAACCTGTACTGCCATACCTTGAAAAGATTAAAGGGCGCTTGTTTCTTAATGGTGAAACTACGAACTTTGTCATGGTCCACAAGGTCAAAATATATATCCCTTCCAATTTGTTTGATCAGGACCTCATCTCGAGCAACCTAAACATATGAATAATAAATCGCTCTCTTATAATTCTTTGACGTGCACCAAATATATACATGTACTAGCACTTGTGAAAAAGGGAACGGTGAAAACGGAGACAGAGACTCTTTACCGTAATAGTAGTATAAAGGTGAGCTTGTGCCTTGTTTCTCTTTTTGTCCTCCTCCTCTTGTTCTTTTTTCAAACTTGTCTTAAATAATACAAAGAATGAAAGCTCAGTGAGAGACACTTGAACGTAGAACTTATGCTTCAAAGAATGAAGCTCAGTGAGAGACACTTGAACGCAGAACTTATGCCCTATGTAACATTAACTACGACAATAACCATCTTCCAGAAATGAAGGGACATTGGAATATTTGCGTTCTTCTTCACTTCCGAGTGGAGTAGATTTCTGAAAGCATGTGATATCCCCATCTTCAATCTGGAAAACATAACATGAAACAGTTAACAAGCTGTAAATAGACAGCATCAAATTGAGTTAGTTCCTATAGCAGACAATTATTCACATATACCAAGAATGCAATATATAAGCATTTTACCTGACTTAATTGAAATGAGGCTGTCCTATCAATGCGCTCGCACAAAATACGAAGCTCAAACCATACTTCCTGAATGCAGCACAAAAGCGGATATAATTAGTTTTTAAGGACGCTATACAAAAGCATGCTTCAATTAGTCATAACATGCATACACACATGATAACAAGCATACATATATACATGATACATTATACATATATGTGTGCACGGCTGATGCCAAAAAAAAAAAAAAAAGTGAAACATACCTCATAAAGGTCAATCTCTTCCTCTGGGGCAAAACCAGATTTAGTTTTGCTAAAATTTCTATTGGCTTGTTATAACTCTTCACAAAAAGCCTACCAACGAATTGGCAACACAAAAGAAACCTTAAATCAGCAAATGTGTACCAAAAGAAGATGGTAACCGAGCAGAAAGATCGAGAGGTACCCTAGCTTTTGTTTCTCAGGTTCATAAAGCTTAAAGAAAAGCATGATATCTTTCTTGGTTTTGCGAGGGGGAGGAATAGGAGGTAGATCCTAGAGCATTTTATAGAGGCAATAAAATTGTCAGGTACGATCTCTTTCGAAGTTGTAACAAGCTTCGGACCAGGGGTCACAACAATAGATAAGAGGGACTTACCGGCCCAAACTCCACTTCAAAAAACAAATTTAGGTCCCCCTTACTGTGTAATTTATCTTGTACCCCTCTCAATTGTTCAACGTACAAAACACAAGTGGCCGCCATTAGCTTGCAAAAACCACATTGACCAGTCTCGACATCAACCACGCTGTGATGTGCACTTCCAAACTATCAATCATTTCAAAATAAGATATCAAAGTTTTATGGGTGACCAACACATTTTTTTCTAGTAAAATAACTTCATTGTTTCCCATGAGCGTTTATACGAGGGAGGGAGGGCGGGATGAGGAGCGAGCAGGGCAAGGAGCGAGCAAGGCCTGCGACAATTCTCTCTCGCAGTATGACCGACAACTCTCTCTCTCAGGATGGACGGTCTTTGGAATCCTTTCAAATTTGGGTGTTTTCGCTAAGAACTCGTAGCGAAGGAGGTAATCCAAGCGAGTCCGGCGTTAGGGAAGCATTTAAACCCAGCCTTAATTTTCATTTAATAATTACTCTGCCACGTGTCATGTACTTGTTGGTGGGTAATACCAACTATCAATGTCACGTGGTGATACTGTACTATCTAATAATTTTCGTTTTTTAGATGCTTTTTCGGCAAGTGCTATAAAAAAACTCTTTGCAGCAACTAATTCTTTTGTGCTATGATCTGTATTCCTACAAATTTATGGTGCTTTCATCTATCCATTGTGGAAAGAAAGCACTATGATCCTGGGGCACCATCGATCACAGGTTCGGAAGGGGTTTACTTTGCTGCCTTGTGCAGTTTGGGTAAGGAAGTAAACGTAGTCGTTTGAGATTAACGAGGACACAGTGAGAAAGTTAGAGATGAGGGTTTGAATTCAAGAATTGGTTGAAGAACACATTTGGAGAGAGATTTTGTGGAATGGGAACCAGTTTACTTCTTTAAGACCAACTTCAATGGTTGAATGGTTGAGTTAAAACTCAAAATTTAAGTTTTATATTTGTCCAAAGCTTCTCCAATTACTGGGTTAAAAATAGTTTTGGAGTTTTCTAATAATTTCTTCCCCCGTTCCTCGTATTCCCTCCTTTCCACCAAAACCAAAAATTCCCTCCGCCGCTCCTTTCGCTTTTATCTCATCCCCAAACATTAAAATCCAAACTGCGAAAACCAGATATCTCACGCTACAGGTTCTGGAATTTTTTGCTTGAATCTAACTGCAACTTTTGCTTGAATTTTGTTTTATTCTTTTGGATTCCAGCTTGCGCAAATTTTGGGGTTCTGAGTTTTCTTAGACAAAGAGAACGGATGCGATTCGATATGATGAGTGAGTTTTTAAAGCTTGGGGGAAACATCTGCAAATGAAAAAATTGTTGTCCTTGCTTCATCTGCAGATGGATGGCAACGTGATGAGTGAGTTTTAAGCTTGGAGGAACAAGATGTGGCGGCCCAGCGGAGGCAGAGAGTTTTGTGACAGAAGGCAAGAAGGAGATGGAGGATGTAGGAGATGAAGTTAAAAGATTTTCCGTAAACGAAATGGAATTCACACCTCAAAAGTGCAGTAGATAATGGTAGATCGAACCTACAAGGAGACTGATGAGTCAATTTCACTTTATATATTTTATCCTATTCTTAGTATATTTTAGTTAATATTTTGGAAGAATTTTGATACTTTGAATTGTATTTTCAATATAGAACTTTCGACTTCCTCTGGAAAAAAAACATGGTCAAATGGACGAATTTTGGAGTAATTCTAGTTGGAGGACGTTCGTGCCTCACTTGGCTTAATCGTGTCAAAATATCAGATTTTTTTACCAAGCGATGATTTTCTGGCAATAAATAAAAGGAGCAATGCGCAATGCTGGAATAATGACGTTTTGGGCTTGACTTGCGTTTTTGGAGCCTAAGATGACCTCGGATGGGATCGTGGTCTTCTGGAGATTGTTTAGAACGTCTTGATCTTCAAAACAAGCTATTATGGCCCGGATTTAATTGGAGGAGATTTGAGGCTAAAACGTGGCTGGACAGTTTTTGTGCAGTTTCTTCTAATTTAATTAGGACTTTATTTTCTAAGATATTTTGTATTATTTAGTTTCCTAGTTGGAAAAAAGAACCTATGTTTTTAGGGGTTGTGCGGTGACTTAGCAAATATATTCCTTTGCCATTCTTAGTCTTTTCTACGCTTTTTTTTATGCTACTTTGGAGACAGAGAGTAATTGCTAGGGTTCTTGGAGATTTTCTATTTTAAGGTGTTTTCAATCCTTTTCTTAATAATATTTTGTATGATTTCAATTATGAATATGTGTAACTAATTCCTTTTGCTAGGACGAAGCCTTGAGCCTTAGCATGAATATGTGATTTTTATTTAATTGCTTATGATTGATTGCATGCATACTTTGAATTCTTGATCAACATGGTTGAAACTATCTAATTGTCTTAATGCCTGATCACCATTAGGATCTTTAGAAAATTAATTTGATGCAGTTTTGGTTGGAAGGTTCCCTGAAATTGATGCTGGCTTCTTGTGATTAATAATTGTAATTTCACTTAAGATGAACACCACATCTTAAGAGTTGCATGGTTTTTCAAAGGGTTTTCATAAAGCATAATGAGTCTCTCATGTTCAGATTTGATCCGAATGTCCGGACGGGTTGCATGTTAGATATACATTCTATGTTGAAGGTTCCAAGTAAAATATAAATTAGGAAAACCTAACCTTCAAAGTGGCATATGTAGATCATAAGTAATTGGTAAAAATACATAGGATTGCTAGGTGATGGTGGAACCCTATTACTTTTATAAATTGGTTTTTAAAACTCTTTTCTTTTGTGTTTTTAATTAAATTTTTTTTTTTAATATTACTTAATTTTAAAATCTATTTTCTTAACTTTCAGTTTTAAGTATTTAATTAGGAATTGTTTCTACATAAATTATCCAAATAGTTCTTGAGGAGAACGACCTTGCATGAGCATCCATACTACAACATCCTTGTATTCTTGCAAGTATTTCATGTGTTTTTATTCCTACTTTTGTAGATGATAAAAATCCTATCAGAGACTCAAACAATTTCACACCTCAAAGAGCAAGACAGTCGAAATGGAATTCAAAGTCAACCAAAATATTATTCCATATATCGACATAGAATCCAAAACAGAATGTAACATCCACCATGTTCAACTACAAATTAGACATACTAAGAAATTTGATCCCGAATTTTCAAGTCTGATGCTCGATCCATCAATTCATCAGCTAATAACATCAAGAAACATAACTGAAAAAACTAGAGGATGCATTCGCAGAGCAAATGGCATTCACTGACACATGTAACAAAAGTCCTACGGAGTGAGCTAAACAGGAAGAGTTATGATAGCCAGCACAGATGACCCATCAACGCAACCTTCTTGCATCCCTCTCAGACTCGAGCAAGGTAAGGATATCACCCTCCCTGACTGGGCCCTTGACGTTCCTCATGATGAAACGGTTCTGGTCATCCAGAAACTTCACCCTCACTTGAGTCACCTGCCCACGAGATCCATTCCGTCCCATAACCTTGATCACAATAGCATGCTTGATCGTGTTTTCCATTCTTCACAGAAAAAAAAAATAATAGGGAATTGTTATTAGCACTCCAAAAATCTCATTCTACACTCCTCACAAATGTATTTTTCTTTCTAATTATAGAAAGTTTGGAGTACCAAATGAGATTTTTGGAGTGCTAAGTTTGAAGTACCAAATGAGATTTTTGGAGTGCTAATAATAATTTCCAAAAAATAGAAAAGAAAATTGTAGTAAACACAAAATCGTCAATAACCCTACAATCTAGTAAACCGAGCTAGCTGAATTGTAGAATAACATATTGAAATACAACATGTATGCAACAAGACAGCAGGTAAAGAAAAGCAACAATGCAAAATGATGCCTTGTTTTAGGACAAGAAAAAAGAAAATGTGGACGAGAAACAATCGAATCGCCAATTTATAAGATGACGAACGAAACGATGGCTCGGCCTTTTCACTATACCTCGATGTTCTTCTCAACCAAGAGACACCAAAATTGTCCATCATTTTTTTACAAAGAACCAAGGCTTTTTTACTTTTCCAAATCAAATTCAACAAACGAATATAAACCGGCATCAAGTTCAAACAAATGAAGTATAAAACGCATATAGACTACATAACTAAAAAAGAAAAGGAAATTGTTATTGGCACTCCAAACTTTCTATATTCAGAAAGGAAAATACATTTGTGAGGAATATGAAATGAGATTTTTGGAGTGTCAATAACACTTGGGGCAAATAACTCACCGTTAAATTGGAAAATCAAGAGGAAAACCATTATACTAAAACCACCATTAAACATAGAACAAACATTAACCCCAGAAAAATAAAATCATGGAAAAATATCATGACGCAAAAAAATTGCATAGAAGCAACTTAAAATGCTACAACACAAATATAAATTCAACAAAAAAATTTATCCAAAAAAAGGCCAAATCTATCTACAAAAATCCAACCACAGCTACTAAAGAAAGGCGATCCCAAGAAAACAAGGCTTCCCGCTTTGTGAGGGTGGGGAAACATTTATTGTACACAGCTTTATCCTTACTTTGCAAAGAGGCTATTTCCACTAATCAAACCCATAACCTTTCGGTCATAAAGGAGCAACCTTTCCGTTGTCCAAGGCTACCAAAGTAACTCTTTTTTATTTTTTATTTTTATCTCTGCTACAAAAAGGTTCCCAGGTTTTAAAAATTATCCTTTCCATAGGTTTTATCGATCATCATCGGAGAAAAGTGAGCAGGGCATCATAAATTAATGGTCTTTTACAAAAATAAAATCATTGAGAAATATTGTGGATGCAAATATCTTCCTCCTTGATCTTGGACAAAATTGCACCTACAAAACAAATAACACCTTAGGTCAAGGCCGAGAGCCTCACGCGCCCACGATGATTTTTTTTGGGGGGGGGGGGGGGCTTTGGCTGAAGAACCTCCGATGCCAAAGTTAGAATTTTGAGAGAAAAATGTTTGAGAGTTTTGGACAATTTTAGCAAGAGTGAAGACCTACGTTTTTAGAGGAAATGAGGTTGAATATATAGTGCATGGCCGGTCCCTTTGGGAGAGAAGGTGACCGGCCTTTTGTGTATTTTTTGGGTGTAATTGGTGATTTAATTGGCCATTAAGAGATTAATTAGGTAATAAATCTATTAATTAGCCAATTAACATAATTTAAAAGAAATGTTTTGGGGGTTACCTTGTGGAGAGGATTTGATGAGGATGAATGAAATAAGTTTAAAAATAAATACCTATTTGGGCACTTTTGACTTGATTGTGGAATGTTTGGCCACTGCTCGCGTGTAGGAATTTCGGTGCTCCTCAAGGGTAATTTTGTCCTTTTTGTCCAAAAATCCACATGTCACCTCTTGATTATTTTTGGCTCCACAAATATCATGATCCATTAAAATTTCACAACATATGCAAATTCAATAAAATATCAACTAAAAAGGCCAAATTTATTAGGATGTTGCTACTTGCTACAACAAAACAAGAAGCAAAATATAGGAAGATGAACCTTAAAGCACAAACACTGAAAACAATCAGAGAGGGAAACTAGGGGTAGAATGGGTATACCTCAATTTCTCGAACGGGCTCTGCAATTCTTGGCCGCGGCAACGAAACGATGAGTGAGACATGCAGAGACAAGGCAGAGTTAGGGTAGACTCAGAGAGCAACTTATAGGAGGAACGAATTAGGGCTTTTACTTGATGACTATATTACGATAGTACCCTTTTTCAGGTTGCTCATAATTGAGGTCCATTAACTGGTTGCTCATGGATGAGGCCTATTAACTTGGCCCATAATATTTTACCTGCTAATTTGGATAATCCTTCATTATTATAAGAACATTGAATAATACGGGAAATAATGATGATTGAGATTGAAAACATGCACGTGACGTCAATTAGTACTACAATTTAGTAGTATTTCTCTTAACTTCTAAATTAAAGGTTTTAGGTTCGATTCTCGCCAAAGGCGAATTTGAACCATATTATTGCTAACACATTGTGAGACTAAAGCTACATCTCTCCTTTAGTGTAAATAATATCGTTTAACGAAAAAAATGATAAGTTGGAAAAAAGGAAGAATATAGGGAATAGATATGGTTTATCAAAATTAGAAAAAGACTCAAAATTTAAAGTCAAGAAATAAATTCGCATTTTAGAAAAGAGACGAAAGGTCTCTTGTTGTAATACTCCTCTCTTCCCATCTCTCGTTATTATCGAAGACATACATTTCACTCTTTGAAAAGACTAACAAATTGTTTGTTTTCAATTTTCATTTTCTAGACACTGAAAACTTGTTTGATAACTAAGTGCTTGTTTGGTAAGTGTTTTTAAACGACTGAAAGCACTTTTAGAGAAAATATTTTTAGGTTCCAAAAGCACTTGAAATGCAAGTGTTTTTCCATAATTAACTTACATTTTTAATAAGAATTGATTTCAAACTATTTTCTCTAAAAGCATTTTTGGTCTAAGATTTGTTATTTTGCTAGTCTAATGCTCTAGTAAACCTTAGTTCCCATTGCTGAAGCATATGTTGCAAAACATTTGTTTGATATCATTTTAATAGATGTTAGACACGACACGAATTCCTTTTAATTTGCATGTATTAACCTTGCACATAATCCCAATGCACATGTGCCTCGGTATTATTTTTTTCACAAAACACGATAAACACGAGACATGAAATTAGTGAAAAAGAAAAAGACTAACATAAAACATGGTATATAGGTTGCGAATGTCAAAGTGAGTGTATATATCTGGATCTTCACTTAAGTTTTCTTATTAGAAAATGAGGTGATCATTTTCACACTCCAACTTTCCACAACAGCACTCCTCTCGTTTTTGAAGCTATTTAACATCAAATTGTAAGAGTCTTGCTAAAGAGATTAAATTTTGTAAACTAAATAACATGAAAATTAATGACTGAATTATTACTTAAACATTGATTAACGTGTTTATTTCTTATTGATGACATATGATTTAGTTTGCAAATTTAGTCTTTTAGCATTACTCATAATTATATATCCGTTTTGACAAAAATTAAAAGTCACATATGTCATCATTACACAATTGTAATTAAATAAAAAGAGTTTAAAAACAATATTCTACTAACTAAAAGCATCTTTAAATCGATATCAGTCGAGTAAAAATAAACTCTCCTAATAAGCATCAACATAGTAGTGATAGTAACTTGACTTCGTTCTGATTCCAGTAACTTCAACTTGGTGTGACTCTGGATCATACAAAACCAACCTAGGGTTTCTACCATCCTCAATCATATGAACTTTGCCAATATTCGTTCTAATTCCCAATGGCCAGTCTACCAATCCAGTACCATTAGGCAAATAAAACGTCCGGATCATTTTCCAATCATCCACTTCCAGAACCCATACGTCGACATATAAATCCAAATCATGACCATATCTTGTACGGAAAAAAGAGAGTGATTTTTCAAACACTCCAATTCTTATTTGATTTCGTACTATATCTGGAAGCAGAGGGGGCGTTAAGAGGGTGCGAAAGGTGCAGTCACATAGATCCCCAAATTTGAAGGGGCCCCCAAAAGTTTTGTCACCTAATATTTATATGTAATAATATTCTATATTTAAAATTGCTTTTGTTATGAAATAATGTTCTATATTCAACAATTGATTTTGTTAGCATGTTAAAATCTCATCTTACACTGCTTATAATAGTAATTTTTTTTCTTTCTAAGTACAAAAATTTAGAGTACAGTAAAATATTTTGAGTGCCAATAATACACCACAAAAGACGGAACGGTATTTTTTCAATATTATTATATAATTATGTTACATATTCAAGTGAAACTTTAAAGTTAGAGTTTTTGAACTTCGTTTTCTTCTTTGGTTGTTTAAGATTGAACTGATTTTGATTATTTAGTGAATGTTATGTTTGTAGCTCTTTTTACTTATTATTAATGACATTTTTAAACTTGCAATCAGTGAGTGCTAAACTTTGTTTTGATTTAAGTGATTTTTTTCTAGCATCAATACATTGTCCTACATTTTTTAAGAGTTATCTTAAGGACGGGCGCTTTTATAAATTTCGCACAGGGCCCCAAAATCTCAGAGACGGCCCTGTCTAGAGGCATAATCTTTCGACAAACCTCACTACCCAGATCGAAAGCAAGGATAGAAGTGCACAGTACTTGAATAAGAAGGCATCACAGTACTTATTCTTCTCCGAGCATCTGATCTAAGACTGTAAACCTCAACTTCAAGAACGACATTCTCGCATGGAGGCGAAACCCTAACAAGCCTCACAACCTTATAGTCGTTTTCCCCGCTATGAAACTCGAAACCAAGATTAAAATAAGGCCTTGTGTGGGGAATGAGGATGCCATTGGGAAGCCTCTTAAGTTTTCTGATTGCTGGATTCCATTGATATATAGGACTTTCCAAGCCAATTAGAAACACAGAATCGATCATACAAACCAATCCATTACAGGAACCATGAATAAAGAATCTGAAACCTAATTTGTCTGCAGGAATCTCAATATCCAAAAACTTAGACAATGTTGCAGCTATAAAAACTCAAGGCCTTCTCTGTAAACTTTTCTTAGACATTAAGAAAAGTATATTTTCTCATTAAACCAAATGAATAATAGAATCACTAATATATAGCCTTTGACTATTTCCTTTCTCTTTCTAACTAACCAAAACAGATTCTCTCACTTTAACAAAATAAAACAGAACACTTTACAATGAAACTATAACAAACTAATAACCATATATTGTTATGACTTGTCATCTTCATCTTTACACCCCCTGAAGCCAAACTTGGAAGAAGGCAGGATTCCAAGTGAGAGATTGGATTGTAGAAATTGAAATCTGGATCTAAACAAGGACTTGGTATGAATGTTAGCAATCTGATCATGACTGCACACATACTGGACTTTAATCAAGTTGGCAAAAACCAATTCCCTAATATAATGATAGTCTATTTCAACATGCTTAGTTAGTACGAGCAAGAAAAATAGGATTAGAAGCAAGAGATATGGCTGAGATGTTATCACAACAGATAGTAGGTTTAGCAGTCATGGGAAAACATAAATCTTTCAACACTTTGCATATCCAAGTAATCTCTACTGTAGTTTAAGCCAAAGACCTGTACTCTATGTCAGTGGATGAACGAGCCACTGTGGTTTGTTTCTTTGCACACCAACTAATCAAGTTAGAACCCAAAAAGACACAAAAACCACTAGTAAATCGTCTATCAATGGTGCAGCCAGCCCAGTCTACATGCGAGTAAGCAGAAAGATGTAATGAACTTTGTTTGAACAAAAGACCCTGAGGGATAGTGCCCTTGAGGAATCTTAAAATCCTTTTGGCTGCTTGCATGCCATCATACAATTTATTTTTACTCCATACTTTTTTTTTTTAAATTTTTTGCCATTATCTTCTTTAATTAATTTAATTTAACAATTAAAATTTGAGAAAAGTATACAAGAAGTAAAAATAAGTGTGGATAGCACTATTAAACGCAAGTTAAAAATTTATCATACCAATAAACAGTTATTTGATCGCAACAACATTACACAATTTTATTTTTATAAAAAAGAATAAGGCGAAAGTCAAAAGTATAAGAATGATATAAGATTGGGTAAGATTCTAATTGATGAGAAATTCAGTGTGTCTGAAATATAAAACGGTATGTTACATGTAAAATATATATAGTGAAAAGTTTTTTTTTGAAGTGTTACTCTAATTAAACAGTCACATGTGATGCACTACACAGTATTTTGCACACACTAAAAATCTTGCCAAATAGATAAGTTTGAAACCCTAATAAATTGCATGTCCAATTGGAAATTTCTTCTTGCATGGTTGCCACGCTACATAAACGTGTCCTCCTGGCTCTAATGCAAACCCACGTGCAAAAAGCCCTGAGAAACAAATGCAAACCGATACTACACAAACTCATCATATATAAGCAAATACCAAATAATTCAAAGCTCAAGTAACTCAAAACTCAACTCCACAACATTGAGTATAGTGATCGATGCAGACGACTACTACAACCGGCGCAGAGCGGCAGCCACCGGTGCAAAGCGGCGGTGACGATGATCGGAGGAGGAAGAAGATGAGGGTGATGGTGGCCATAGACGAGAGTGACTGGAGCTTTTATGCTCTTAAGTGGGCGCTCGACCACCTCTTTGTGGGGGCTACAGACCAGGTGGCGATAAGCACGGGAACAGCGACGGTGGAAGCGGCGAGCCAGGAGAATGTGAGCATGATGACTCTGGTCCATGTCATGAAGCCGTTTCAGCACTACGTCCTCCCTGCCGGACCAGGTGCAACGGCGTTTTATGCAACGCCGTCGGTATTGGAGTCTATTCGCAAAGCACAGGAAGAAAGTGCTGCCTCTGTTCTCTCTCGTGCTTTGGAGATATGCAACGAAAAGATGGTAATTAACTCGTTTGATAGTTGAGAGAAATAGTTGAGTTTTCTGCTCCACCCAAGCTTATGTTTTCAGGTTGTCAATATAAAGTCCTGTCACAAGTTTTCCCTAAAAAAGCTATATCTTTAATTAAGACGAACCACTACCAATCATTGTATAAGTTTACCCTAAAAATCATGTTTAATAAAGACGATCCTGATTAGAAAAATAAAAATGTTTATATTCTCAAACTGTTAATGGCCGGGTCGCCTATCAGGTTTTGTTAGCGTGATAATGGTTACTGTTCACAATTCTTCCCAGATCATTTAGCGAAGTAGTATTTTGTACCTTAAAAGATAAGAATTTGTACGATAAGATTTGTCTGACGAAAGAATATTAGCCTATATAGCTTAAATCTCTTTGTAAGGTACATATATTACAACTAATATTTGCGAGTGTTGTCAGCCTCGTACATTTTAATCATCTGTAAATGTGCAACTGTTTAGTGGCTATTGCATATCTTTCTGATGCATTTGTCGTATTAGATTTAGTTAATTAACGGGTATCGTAATTATATGTCGTGCAGATCAAATCAGAAACTCTAATTCTAGGTGGGGATCCCAAGGACATGATTTGCCAGGCCGCAGAGCAGATGCATGTAGATCTTCTTGTCGTAGGTAGTCGTGGCCTTGGCATGGTCAAAAGGTGAGCACACATAATTTCATTAACAATTACTCGAAAACGGTACAAATCAATTTGGGAAATAATTTCCACAGCATCATCGTTGTCTCCTTCCCCACACCTTTGGTTGTTCTGGCCTTTGGGTTGAATAGTAAAAGAAGAATCAAATAACCAAAGACAAAAGGAGTGCAGAATGAGAAAAAGGCGTATGGAAACCATTTTCCGTCAATCTTGGATTATCATGGGAGCTATTTATGTGACTTGTATAATTTCTTTTGGTGGGTGCAGGGCGTTCTTAGGAAGTGTGAGTGACTATTGTGCACATCATGCAACATGTCCAGTTGTGATCGTGAAACCACCAAAGGAGTCTGCAGGAAAATAACCCTTTTAACTATTGTTCAGCTGCTTTGATTTCTACGTAAGATTGCAGAGAATAAGAACAAGTGAGGAAAAATCAAATAAGCACAACTGAGGAAAGGGTGTATTTTGTACTCCTTTTATCACGATAAAAAGAAATGAATGCGAGGGTTATGTATATTGAAGACAATTTAAAACATACATTGAAGATAATTTAAAGAAAAAAAATATATATATATATCGATGACAGAGGTGAATGATATTTTATTTTGAGATTATAGATGAAAGAAAATTTGTATATTGCTATCGAGTTTAAGGTGAATCTCTTAGAACAACTCGTAAATTTGTTAATGAGCGAAACAATTGAGCGGCTCATTCAAATATTGGCGGACTCGCCTGACACACCCCAATCTTAATATTTCCAACTATCAGAGTAGGCACATGTTGGTCGACATCCTAGGGTGACGAAACCATTAAAAACATGCATATCGCTAAATTATGTGATTAGAAAGAGATATACAAATGCAAAATTTTGTTCAGAGCATACAAGTAATTAAGAATAATGTGAAAGAATTATTATGGAAGGGTACGAACCGAGGAATGGGACCTACAAAGAGGAGGCTCAAAGATGCCTAAGCGGGGGTGCCCTGATGCTGAGATTGTGTAGTGGACCAAGTTTATAATAATAATATGAATAATAGGAAAACCATTTTTATTTCTGAACATAATAACCCTTGTTTTGAAAATATATATATATATATATATATATATATATATATATATTACGAAGTAGGTTTTCCTAAAACTTTTATATGCCATGAAAACATTCATAAAATAAGCACGAGTAAAACCATGCTCAATATCATCAACTCCTCATTCACTTGAAGGCAATACCTGTCCATCACCTGAAGGTGAAGCTGTACAACACTGGGTTACGCCAGTGAAGAAACCATGGTCCATCACCCGAAGGTGAAGCTGTACGACTCCGGGTTATGCCGGAGAAGAGATATATACATGAATATCCTCAACTGGGTCCTATGGCCACATACGTCTACATACCCGTGTTGTGTGCATGTGCTGTATGATAACCCGCTAGATACGTACCAAAAACATACCTCAAAATCTCATCTCGTAAATCCATATTCATAACCTTTCGTAAGATGTAAACTCGATAAATCATAAATATCTCGTAACCCGTAAATGTAGAAATTCGGAAAATATAATATAAAACATATTCGATGCATGAAATATGAAATGCATGCAAACCTAGCATTTTATAAAACCATGCAAGTTTAGAAGGGGTCCACTCACAGATATTACATTGCCTGAGAGCCGCTCAAACTTACGAGGATGGAGTCATTTTCCACCGATGCACCTAACCACAATTAGGGAACATTTAGTAAAACTATACTCAAACGATAGAAAAAAAGGATGAAAAAGTGGCCAGAAAACGGATCAAAATCAGGTCATGTGATGGTCCGGATTGGGTGGTCTCACCCTCTCTCCTTTCCTTCATTTCCTCGATCCTGATTGGGCAACAGGTTCCCCTCATTTCTTTCCATCGTCCATCTATCTCCTTTCTCTTATTTCTTTTCCATCATAGCCACACACGTGGCATCATCTGACTGCTCTAGCAAAATTTGGAGCCTTCCAGATTTATGGTCAAATGACCATTTTGCCATCAACTTCGTTCGTTAATAACTTGTTCATTATAACTCCAATTTCGATTTTATTTGCGCCCATGCATTCGTCGCGACGAGTACTATAAGGATAAACCAAGAAAATGGATCTTAAATGACACGACAAGGCAGTAAAAAAAAATCAACGCATTTGCCTTGAAGGGTATTTTCGTAATTTCACATTTACAAAATTATAAAAACTGTAATATTTGGGGACGGGGGCTTGATCTTGAAGAACGGTGATGAACGGATCTTCAAGGGCTTTTGGGCTTGATCTTGAAGAACGGGTGTGTGGATTTGTTGATGTGGTTGATCCAAAGGGCCATTGGGGCTTGATCTTGAATGAGGATTTGACGAAGAACGAATAGAGTTTTCTTGATCCTTCAGGATTTGCTTTAGAGCTTTAGAGTTTCAAAGCTTCAAGGTTTTTGTGTGATATCAATTCCTTTTTTCTTTTCTTTTTTTGCCCCTTATCCCTTGATGGAGAAGGCTATTTATAGGTTTTGAAAATGAATCACCACCATCCATTTTTTTTGGTGAAGTGAGTGGATGTTGTAGGTGAAATGAGTGGAGTTTATAGGTGAAATGAGTGTAGTTTGTAGGTGAAATGAGTGTAGTTTGTAGGTGAAATGAGTGTGTGATGTAGGTGAAATGAATTAAAGTTGTAATTTTAATGCATTGGTCAACATTTATTTCACTAAAATTTCGATGTCTACAGCCCTCTAAGGAACATTATGTTGTTTGAACTCAATTACTTTTTTAGATCGTGATCGATAGTTGCAGAAGTGAATTAGGTTGACCACTCTTTACACTATTAAAAAAAAACTTCATTGGCAGTCAATTGGGTTTGAGTTATCTGCTTTTGAATCCTTATCACGCTACAAAAAAAAATGAGCAATGCGCACAATAAATTATATGTGCCTTTTGAGACCAAAAAGCACCAACAATTGTGCTTATAGACCAATAGCAACAGTGCAGCTACTATCTTTATGTATGTGCCCTCTATGGGCGTCATCATTGATTAGAGGGCATGATACGACCATGTGTGCTCAAAGAGTTAAGCACAAATAAGGTTTTTTTTGTGCCCTATTCTGACACCTGTGTCAGATGCCATTTCAAATTCATGTTAGCATAATTTTTGTAATTGTGCCCTATCAATTAAATTAAAAAAAAATAACAAATTTGAAATACCCTACAATCTGAAACAAACATTTGAAAACGTATATTCATCCTTTCAGGCATTCATCTTTTCAGTGAAGGCGCATGTGCTCCACGCGCCATCCACAACAGTACCACACGCAGCAACAGTGCGACCTGCAGCCACGCCAAGGGTTTCAAAGTCCGTTTTGGTCCAAAACACAACCATTTTCAACAATTCAAAAGCTAAAACAAAGCTACAAAGGTAAGTATTCGAAATTTACCTTCTTCAAGGCCCTTGGGTGGCTGGTGATAGCTTAAAATCATAGCCCTCGGTGGAAATAAGGGGAATTTGTCCCCTGAGTTGAAACTGCATCCAAATTTAACCAAATCAGGCATGCAGTGCACAAAAATGTCTCTAAACAACTTAAAGAACCTAACTAAGGTGTTTTCGAGACTCACCCATACTGGATTCGACGGAAAATCTCGCCGAGGAGTCAAGCCGCAACGAAGCTTGTCATTTCGTCGTGTAGGTTTCAATTTCCAGAAAGCAAAAGGTAATGGGGAGTCTGCAGTGAGGAGAGGAAGGTGACACTGGTGGTTTCCTTGCCGGAGATGGCCAGGCCGCCGTCATTGCTTACGTGCTTCTCTGTGTCAAGGAAGAAGTCGAGAGAGAGAGACAAAAAGATTGTGAGAGAGCGAGGGTGGCAGTGTAGTGTTTGGGTGGTGGCAAGGTTCGCTGGAGTGGCTAGTTAGATGGAGATGGATGCTGCAATTTTCTGTGCAGTGAGCACAGAGATGATGAGGGAGATGACAGAGAAAAGTGTGAAGAAGTAGAGAGAGAAAGTTAGTGAGAGAGAGGATTATGTGAATGAGGGAAATGGAAGAGTGATGGAGTGCAAAGAGGAGTAGAAGCACGGGGAAGAAGACCCACGTGGGTGTGTCCCACGGAACACAAAAACCCATCAGAAAATTAATAAAATAATTATATACATAACCATGAGGGATATGGAAGACTGTAGGATTAATACTCAACAAATAATTACATATACATAACCAGGTGGGAAGGGTGAAAACCCTGCTGCATCTGCCTGCAGGGATAGAAAAAAAATGGAGGAGCACAAAAACCCATCAGAAAATTAATAAAATAATGATTTAATACTCAACAAAGAATTATATATATATAACTGGGTGGGATGTGACATCCCACATCGCCCAGGGGAGTGATCCTTATATGTATATTCTCATCCCTACCTAGCACGAGGCCTTTTGGGAGCTCACTGGCTTCGGGTTCCATGGGAACTCCGAAGTTAAGCGAGTAGTGCGCGAGAGCATTCCCAGGATGGGTGACCCATTGGGAAGTTCTCGTGTGAGTTCCCAGAAACAAAACCGTGAGGGCGTGGTCGGGGCCCAAAGCGGACAATATCGTACTACGGTGGTGGAGCGGGCCCGGGTTGTGGTGGGGGCTCGGGCCGGGATGTGACAATTATTGTGACATCCCACATCGCCCAGGGGAGTGATCCTTATATGTATATTCTCATCCCCTACCTAGCACGAGGCCTTTTGGGAGCTCACTGGCTTCGGGTTCCATGGGAACTCCGAAGTTAAGCGAGTAGTGCGCGAGAGCAATCCCATGATGGGTGACCCACTGGGATGTTGCTCGTGAGTTCCCAAAAACAAAACCGTGAGGGAATGGTAAGCCCAAAGCGGACAATATCGTGCTACGATGGTGGAGCGGGTTCGGGAAGTGATCCGTCCCGGGCCGGGATGTGACATGGGAAGGGTGAAGACCCACGTGGGTGGGTCCCTGCTACATCTGCTTGCCGAGAAAGTAAAATGGGAGAAACCTTTGGCTTCTAGAATACTCCCTCCCAAAATTACCATTTTGCCTTCTAACTTTAAAAATTCGTAACTTACTCGTTCTAACTCCAAATTCACATCCGTTTGTGGCCACGTGTTCATTACAAAAAGTATTATTTAAATATAATACAATATTTATCACCACTAATAATTCAAGTTGATTGCAACTAGATATTTTCACAAATTGTGAATAGGAAAAAAATAGTTGGGAATAGGAAAAAGTAAATGTAAATGACGCAAAAACATATTTTTTTATTTAAATATATTAAAATAGAGGGCACAAAAGCCTTTATTGTGTCTGTGTAAATTAATAAAATAAATTTCCATCTCTGACATGCAAGCTGGACACAAAGTTTTGTGTTCAAATTTTAGTAGGCACAAATACCCGACACAAACTAATGGGCTTTTATGTTAGAGGGCACATTTGAGGTGTTTTGGTACTCAATGGAATTTAAAAAGTATAAATATATATTTGTGCTCAATGAAAATGAGAAGGGCACAAATCGATTGTGTTCTTAGTCCATTTTTCTTGTAGTGTCAGTTCATCAAATCTTGTATCAGTAGCTCTACTTTATGTTGTCAAAAAAGAGGGATTCAAACAAAGAACCTTGACCTCATAAATGCTCTCACCCGTTTGAGCTACACGCTCCTTGCTAATAATAGTTCGTACTTCTTAAAACCAATGCAGATGATAAAAATTGGCAACCTTCTTAAAGGGACAAACAATTCAGGAATGAAACATCAACTCGCTGAAGTTGATTTGCATTTGCTACCCATAATTTCGGGAGTTTCCTGGAGTAGTCTTATATATTCTCGAGCTCCCTCCACATCATATTTCTGTCCCATGTATCCCATACAAGCAGCCAAAACATCCCTGTCTGGCGTAAACGGAGGCCCCGAAACTGAAAGTGCTTTCCTCATCGACTCAACTGTCTTCTCAGCTTGATCCTGATCCAGATAATACCAAGTGCTTGCATCCGGCTTCCCACCCTTTAGTATTACACTGTTAATAATGGATTCAGCCTTGTCAACTAGGCCATTTCTGGTATAAGCACTGATCAAGAAATTTGTGATAGGAATATCTGGGGTTAAATTCTTGGATTCCCATTCATCATAGAGATCTTCTCCGCACTTTCAATGTCGCCAATCTTCAAGACCGAGGTTATTACACTTATATAACCCCTATCGTATATTTTTCAAGCGCTTCTTGTATTGTTCCCAGAGTCTCATGACACTATCTTTCCGCCCTAGTGCTGCATATTGTGTGATAAGGTACTCATAATCCTGTCTTTCAGAACTTGGTATCAGTTTCTCAACCTTCTCTAGCATTGCCAATGCCATTTTCACATTTGGTGCTTTCGTATAACCATTTGCTGCATTGACATAACTATCCCAATCCATAATCCCACTCTGCCATAACCTTGTCAATTCCCTCAAGATCAGAAGCAGCTGCACATGATACCGTAAGTGTATTTGTCAGGACCAATGCCCCTCTCTTCCATTTCACTCATTAAAACATTGAATTTGTCAGTGTTTCCATCTGATAATACAAATTGAGCAAAATGTTGTAGGACAACGGTGTCCTAGCAAACCCCAAATCCCTCATCTTCTGCATAACGTCCTCAGCCCTTTTCCACATTGATATCTGAGAACAAACAAACGAAAGCACACTTTCAGAAGCAGGGTTGTTACTTGTTAGAAATCCAAGTACCAAGAAGATGAAAAAGATGAAAGCTTGACTACTTGGGCTGCTCTTATTTTGAATCTAATCATGGCTCTCAGAATTAACAGTCTAAACAAATATGAGCTCCTTCTAAGAGCGATCCACCTCCATTTTTGGAGCGAGATAGGACAATGCCCTCATTTGTGCCGTCTCACATGACCATGTATTGACAATATAACGACCTATAGAGTAGGGCCAAAAAGGGAAAAAAAACATTGAACTTTAAATGGCCACTACATGGTCAATGCATGGCCTTGAAATGGTCGATAGAGTGGTACAATTCTATCCCTCTCCAATAGCGGGATCCTCGATCCCCTCTTATGAGATTCTCATATGTGTTTTACAGACAAAATCAGCCCTATAGGTCTATATGCATTCAAACTCTGATTAGGAACACAATAAGCTGCCTTATTAGCACATTTTTAATCAATTGACAATTCAGTTTTGCCGAATTTAATATAAAAATCTGAATGATAACCCTAATTTATTGACCTCCTACTTCCTTTAATCCGCGAAAGTCAAATTTAAATTGCTGCTCAATTATTTTAGTGTAATTTTAACCTCCCGCAATTAACAAGAACACAATCCTAATTTATTAGACCATAACGCTATATTTCGAAGTCAAAACAGGGTAAAAACGCTGAACTATAAACCGTCACAATATGATCAATACCTAGCCATGAAACGGTCAATACGATGCGACTTTCCTATTCCTCTCCAAGGATCCTTTTACGAATACATACACACACACACACACACACACACACACATAAGAGTTGAAACTCTTTTATGCATTCAAAATGCTGATAGGAAAACAATTAAGCCAATATAAGAACGACGTCGTGTCGACTCCGTGATCTTTGAAGAATCCGTGGATGTGAAATAAACACAATAAGAAGGGCAAAACAGTAAACCTAACCCAAAACCTAGTCGACTAAACTATATTTCCTCTCTTCCAGTTCCCACCCCTTTTGTCCTGCGCCGTTCCCTCGTCTCTTGCGATTCAGCACACCCCCCTGCGACGCCGTTTCATCGTCTTCTTCAAGCTCTCGCAGTCTCTTCTGAAACTCCAACCTCCAGGTCAGTGCTCGTATCTTATCTCTCTCGCTCCATCTGCTATCGTGTTTTATATTTTTTTCTAAATTCATCGTTTATATTATTCTTTTAATCAGTACTGGGTTTGAGTTTTTGGTTCACAATTTTTGGTTTAGGCTGATTAATATCTTTTTTTCCTTCTTTTCATGATTTCTGCTAATTTTATTTGTCTAATTTTTGTTTATTTGTCCAAAAATATGGTTAGATTTGGTTCCCTTAATGGATTTATATATTTTTTTTTATCATCACAATATTTGAGGCAATGTTAAATAGTGATCTTTTCTTCTGTAATCCGATTTACTGGTTTTAATATTACTGGAGGAAGTTCGATCATCAGAAAGTTTACTTTGCAGCTCGGTTCTTAATGGGATCTACCAAATACCACTAGTTTTGGGTACCCATTTGATTTTTATTGCTCCTTTTTCTGGTGGTTCTTGAATTTTAACTTGTGTTTTTTACGCTAATTGTAACGCTTTCCTTTTCAATGTTCCATCATCGGAATGTTACTTTGCAGCTGGTTCTTAGTGGCAGCTCTTACCAAATGCCATGAATTTGTTATCCCTATTGAGTTTTCTTGCTGTGTTTTGTGATGGTTCTTGAGTCTTAACTTGTGGTTGACTTATTATCGTAAATTCATAATGCTTTTTAAAGTGGGCGGGGTTTCGCTTTCCTTTTTACCTCTTTGGTAGTTGTACTAGTTGATTTGTTCTGTTTCATGATAAATTGTTGTACAATTCAGTTGTCTCGGGTTACTAGATTGTAGGGTTTGAAGTAAATTGACGATTTGTGTTTTCTGAATATTTCTTTTCTATTTTGTCTTCTGTGAAGAATGGAAAACACGATCAAGCATGCTATTGTGATCAAGGTTATGGGACGTACTGGATCTCGTGGCCAGGTGACTCAAGTGAGAGTCAAGTTTCTGGATGACCAGAACCGTTTCATCATGAGGAATGTCAAGGGACCAGTCAGAGAGGGGGATATCCTTACCTTGCTCGAGTCCGAGAGGGAGGCAAGAAGGTTGCGGTAATTATCAGAGATGGTCTTGTTTGTCGATGCTCCTATGTCTGAGTTTAGGTTTGCAAGCAACAGTTATTTTGTGTCGGTGAATGGCTGTTGTGTTGCCGGTTCTGGGAATTACTAGCATTAGACATTATTTTTGTGATGAGATTTTGTTATGGAATGTTTCTAAACTAAATTGTCTGAAAAGTCCTAGGTTTTGTTTGAACAAGTGACAATGTTCCTTCTTGCTATGTCAAATGTTTGCTTTCCTTCTTACCATTTACCAGGATTGTTGCTTAATTGCTAGTCATTCTCATCTTAAAATCAATACAAGATGTAGACGTGGTTTAATCGTAACCATTTAGATAGGGAGGGGGGGAAGGGATGAGAGATTAGGAGGGGAGAGAATTTAATATTTTTAAGAATTTGCAATTTCTTCGTCCATACTTTGAGCCTAAATTTTGTAATAGAAAGCAATTCAAGCAACAAAGGAGTCAAAATTTTGATAAAATTCATGTTTGTTATCAAAATTCTTAGAAGTATGGCAATTATCAGTTACCCCTTAAAATTCTGGAGTTTTTGCACTATTCTTACGGCTTATTTGTATTCATATTCATTTGTAGGCGAGAAGTTTTAGATTTGAATTTGTACGGATGGAAGTTTTGATACCAATTTATTAGGTTTTCTTAATGTGTGGCTTAGTGCAAAGCCTTCGACTTTTTTGGATATAATATAGTGGTATATGGGAAACAGAAAGATTAAAGGCAATGGTTTTCCAATCGAACAAAAATAGGGCCTTCTAGAAGGGGAGAGAATAAATTGATGTGTATTGTATTCCTCTTCATTTGTAAGTGAGAAGTATTAGGTTCGAATCTTGTGGATGTTGAATTCGATACCTGTGGATGCAAATTTTCGCCTTCTTTTTCTTGGACGAAAATGCACCTGCAAAACAATTAACACCTAAGGTCAAAGCCAAGAGCGTCACGCGCCCACTATGAATGGGAGGCTTTGGTCGAAGAACCCCTACTACCAAAATTAGAATTTGAGAGAGAAAGTGTTTAGAGAATTTTAGGAGAAAAATGGACTTTCAATGAAGGACATCAAAGGAGTACTTCTTTGGGGGACTTGAGTAACTTATAAGAATATAGAAACTACTCCTTTAATCGTCGAATCAGGAAGAAAGAAGTGGTTCTAGCATTGAAAAAGATGAAGTATAGAAAAGCAGTGGGCACAGATGATATACCGATCGAAGTGTGGAAAGTCTTGGGAGAGACGGGTATATCATGGCTCACAGACCTTTTCAATAGGATTTTGAAAACGAAGAAGATGTCAAATGAGTGGCGAAAGAGCACTTTGGTGCCTATCTATAAGAATAAGGGCGACGTACAAAATTGTATGAACTATAGGGGTATTAAGTTAATGAGTTATATAATGAAGCTCTGGAAGAGAGTAACTGAGTATAGACTTAGGCAAGAGACATGGGTCCCAGACGACCAATTCGGGTTTATGCCAAGATGCTCAATCATGGAGGCAATCTATCTCTTATGAAGATCCATGGAAAGATATAAATATATGAAAAATGATTTGCACATGGTTTTTAGAGAAGAAAGGAGTTCGAGTAGCATATATCCAAATTATAAAGGATATGTATGATGGAGCAAGGACTGCCGTAAGAACTCATGAATGACAAACTGAAAGATTCGCCATAACTGTAGGGTTACATCAAGACTCATCTTTAAGTCCTTACCTTTTTACATTGGTAATGAATGAGTTAATGGGACATATTCAAGATGATATTCCTTGGTGTATGCTTTTCGCAAACGATATAGTGTTGATAGATGAAACTCATGAAGGAGCAAACGCGAAGTTTAACCTTTGAAGAGAAGTGTTGGAATCTAAAGGTCTTCGCCTAAGTCAGTCAAAGACAGAGTATATGGAGTGCAAATTCAGTGCAAACAGAGGCTCAAATGAGTTAGGGTGACAATTGGAGATTAGGAAGTACAAAAGAGCGATTGCTTTCGCTACCTAGGATCTATCTTGCAAAAGAACAAAGAGTTAGATGGAGACCTCAACCATAGAATTCAAGATGGATGGATGAAGTGGAAAAGTGCATCCGGCGTGTTGTGTAACTGTCGTATGTCACTGAAGCTTAAGGGAAAATTTTATAGGACAACAATAAGGCCGGCAATGCTTTATGGCACAAAATGTTGGGTGGTGAAGTATGAACACGTACATAAAATGGGTGTAGCAAAGATGAGAATACTTCGTTGGATGTGTGGGCACACGAGAAAGGATAAGATTAGGAATGAGGATATTTGAGGTAAAGTAGGAGCAGCCGAAATTGAAAGAAAGATGAGGGAAAATCAGTTACGATGGTTTGGACATGTGAAACGAATGCCTACTAACGCTCCGGTTAGAAGATACGATTACGAGACAAAAGTTCAGGGTTGAAAGGGGTAGAGGAAGACCTAGGAAGACTTTGGAAGAGACTCTACGAAAAGACTTAGAGTACTTGGATCTAACGGAAGACGTGACACAGAACCGAGCTCAATGGCGTTCTAAGATTTATATAGCGAACCAAACTTAGTGGGAAAAAACTTTGTTGTTGTTGTTGTTGTTATATAATTTGTGGGTGTGGCTTCAATGCTACATATCATTTATTGTTTGGAGTATTTTAGCTGTTAAACTTGATGACACAAATGTTTAGATTTTCAATTTTTTATTTTTGTTATTTATCTCCATGTCAATCAATGCTAAGTAGTAGTGAAGAAATTTTATTGATTTGTTTATCAAATACTATACATATGGACTAGGGAATGTGTGAGTTGTTTGCGAAGAGTCAACAGTGTATATGTCAGTGCTT